ATGATGGAGGTGAACATTGTGTTAATTTTGAGCTTTTAAAGAAGCATTTGATCCGCTTTTTTCTTAAGGTGGAATTATCCTTTCAAGAATTTTTTTTAGATAAATATTGTTTTCACAGGTCTGAATTTTATGTGCATTTAGTCTTTTCACACTTAAAAGATAAAGAAGCATGCATCGCTTTTAAGCTTTGTCCATATATGTTTACTCTGGTACAGGTCCAGGTCATTGCAGACGCCTTTTCTGTTCTCAAACCCGGTTTGGTTTGTTTTTAATTTTTTAAGCTTTACCCATCTAGAGGGAACTTGATTTGTTTAAGTGTTGGAGGTAGTCTTTCTCCTCATTTATCGTCCTATTATCTCTATATAAAGAATCCATAATGCTTGCAACATGATGCTTGATGATTAAATCTTGGACACCAGTGACTTTCCCTAAAGGACAGCGGCACCAGAACTGGGTGTACATGGATAAAGCAGGCTAACATTAAAATTTAGGGACTTAGCTTAAACACACGTTTTTACTGAAAAATATCTTTACAGTAGCCTTTTTTATTTGACCTTTTACAACTATATCATCATTTGATGAGCAGACTCACACCTCAGTAGTTCAGTCAGCAGTTCCCACACCGTTTGTCCTGATGACGTCAAGTGCACTCATGCTAAATGGATCTGATCTAGCAAACAATCAAAGGGTTATATGCAAGATGGATTTTGCAGATATTTATAAGCGACTTGCATCCACCTCAGTTCAGAAACCAATGGCAACTCCAGGTAAAGGGCAAAAAGTACAAAAAACAACCCCAAAAAACCTGGCCAAATATGATGAGGAGGTTCGACAAGAGAGCAGAAGAGTGCTGCAGTTCTGTGCTTTGGCCACAGGTGGCAGTATCATTAGAAAAATCCATCATGGTTCTTTAAAAGCAGATTTCATGTCAGGAAACCAACCATCCAGTTTAATTGATAGCTAAAAATTCAGCCATAAGAAGTGGTTAAATGTGCAGCTAGGAATGTTTCAGTTAATTGGTTTGCTTTTACAATAAAGCATGTAGTTTGTATTTAGCGGTGTGGTCATAACTGAGCTTGTCTGAATGTCCAGGTTTAAGAAAAAAAAAAAATTAAATAGAAGTCTCCCTTTATCATTCCACTAAAACAAAGAAATGTAAAAATTCATCATTAAAGGTCAGACATTGATGCAATATTCATGCTCAAGATTATTTTCCCTATACCATTTTGCATTTTTTTCTTTAGAAAAACGATCCGTTTTTTTCCATAGTTTAAATACATTTGAACAAACTGACATCACTTTTCATTCAGTAGATCAACTCAATGATATTTCTAATATTTCTTATCTTTCATTGGCAGCTTTCTTGGCTTTACTTGCAGAGGATGGCATTCCCATCAATGTTTGTAACAGTTTAAAGGTGGCATGCAGAGGTTTAAAAAAAATAAAATAAAATAGGATCACCAAAGTTGCCCTAAAAAATCTGAACCTTAAAAGTTTTCCCTCAGAAAAGCCTTAAAATGCTGCTGGATCGGATTGTACCTTCAGTAAACCCGATGCTGTTATTTATAGAGGTGGCTTGTAGTGTGAGCATCAGCTGAGGGTGAGTGCTGTGGGTGGTGGCGGTGGAGGGAGGGGTGGCTCCCGATAACTGTCTGTAATCTAGTGAGTGTCATTAACGTTGGGAGCGCTGCGCCCGCTCCGCATAATTACGGTTTCATTCCCCCTCTGCCTCCCGAGCTGTGCAAGGGGCCTCTGACACCGGAGGACTGTGATTAAAAACACGAGGCACTTCACCCGCACTCTTCCTCCTCCTCCTCCTCCTCCTGCCATGCTACATCCTGTTTGGCTGCCTGCTGAAATTCCTCCTTGCTTGAGATTACCTGGCTTGATGCAGTTTTCAAAGCATTTTTAGCGTTGTTTTTCAGTATTTTTCATACTACTTTGCATCCCTTCCTTTATCCCATTGTGACTCATCCAATGACATATGAAGTTAGGATGACAATCAGCAGATCTTGCCATGACCACTGAGGCCAGAGAGTCCCATAATAGCAGACACTAATAGGGCTAAAACTAGCGTTTGCCTTCGGGTTCTGCTGTCACAGACAGTGATGCAGAAATACGACCAGTTCCCCTTCCGTTGATCATAAGCAGCCGGTGTTTGCACGCACAGCCTGTGCAGCACACAGACATATAAGATAAAATACCACCGGATTTTTGTTTGGATTGTTTAGAATGCCTGCGTCAAAGCCTGCACGCCTCAGGGTCTTTCTGGTGAGTAATTAATTTCCAGCATGTGGGGGTAGAGACCGGAGCTCATGGGCCTGCCTGCTGGCTCAACCTCTGTGTGTGCGTGTGTGTGAGTGTAAGGGGGAAAAAAGGGAGGCAGACTTTGTACTGCCTAGGATGCTGCATCCTAGCCTGAAGGAGGTGTGGGGAGGGAGGGAGGGGGGCAACAAAAAAAACAACAAAACAACAACAGCGCAGAAAATCGATCCAGGGGCCACTCTGCTCAGCCTCTTCCGGATGCAGGAGTCCTCCTCTCCCGGGAATTAGATAACGGCTTGTAAAAGCTCTCCAGCACCAAGCTCTTTCCACCCTCCTCGACTTTTAGCTGCTGCTGCATCTTCCTGCCCTCCTGCCTGCTCGTCCGCAATATTGCGTTTCTTCCCTGGCTTCACACAACTGCAAAGTATTAGCCCCCGGTTTAATTGGGATCCCAGCTTCTTCTCATAACTTGTGTGGATATTGTGTATTATCTGCAGCTTAATATTTTATTAGGATCTAATTGGCCTTTGCTATTTGCCTCGGTGCTTTGATCGAACACGTTAAGGCACTGACTGCGTGTGCTTGTGTGATGTGTGGCACCTTGCAAAAATATATTCTTTTGCTACCACAAAACTGAATTTTTGTCATTTAAAATCTCAGAAAAAAATAAAAGAAAAGAAAAAATGATTAGCACCTGGATGGAAAACGCTAGATTTTTTTTGTTCTACAACTGTTCTAAAGAGTGTGGCGTACCAGGGGTGTTTTTTTGTTTTTATTTTTTTTTCTGACCAGAGCTCTGCATCCACAAATCCATATTTTCTATTGTTCTTTTTCCAAGAAAAGCTCAAGCTCAGTCGGTTTGACTTCATCATCTATGAACAGTATTCATCAGCCCTGTGTGCGTTGATTAGACTATTCTAATACATGAATATGCTTTAATTGAAACCATCTATCCCTAGCCTGGTCTGTATGGTTGGGGTCCCATCCTGCTGAGAGTTGACCCAGCACTGAATCCTTTCAGCCTCTATGAGGTTTTCCTCCAGAATTAGCCAGTGTTTAGCTCCATCCATCTTCCCAGTCCCTATTTCCATGTTAGTTGCTGAAGAAAAGAAAAGAAACCCTTGCAGCATGATGCTGCCACTATTTTACAATGGAAATACGTGGTTTTTTGTACATGTGGTTTTAAAAACGGTTTTGCAGATTAGCAAAAAACAAAAAGATTGTCATATCTTCCTATTCTCAACAAGACTTAACCTATGTTTTTTTTTAGAACTCGGAGGTATGGACCAAAAATAACAGATGATATTTTGAAGCTAAATGGTGATACAGTTTTCTCTTTTCATTAAGTAAAGATTTACTGGAGATAAACATCAGAAATTGCCAAAAACAACCTTTTTTGGCTTATGTAAAAGAATAACCATAACACAACAACTTAGACTCATCTTATACCTCTTTTGAAAAATGTCTTGATATTTTTTTAAATCTCTATATGCTGCCTAGTTTTATTGTCTTTTTTTTTGTATTTTTGTATTTTTCGGCTCCACAACAAGTGGTTGTAATGTCAACAGGTTCTCCAACCTGAGCTTTGGATATCAGCAGCTCCTCCAGGCTCACCGTGGGTCTCTAGGCTGCTTCTTTTCTTAAATGCAGTTTATGTCCCGCCTGTAAACCTCTTCCATATGTCCTCCCTAATCTGTCTGCTTTGTTCCTTGTTCCTCGTATTATTTGCTCACTGATGTTCTCTAAAAAAACATGTATAGTGTTTGCAGAACTGCTGGATTTCTATCAATTTTTTTTTAGGCCAGACGAGTTTATTTGTATAGCACAATTCAATACAAAGAATTCAACATGCTTTACATGAATAAAACAATAAAATAGAAAGAAAACCAAAGCAGAATAAAAGCGAATAAAGATAAAACATGATAAAAGCAGGTAGTAAAACTAATAAAACAGGTAGGCCACAACCTTAAACAAATGATACTTCAATTATCAGTTAACAATTGAAATTTAACTTAAAAGAACTCTCTTCAGCACTTTTACAGTCTTCTGTGAATTTGTTCCAGATAAGTAGAGCATAGGAACTAAATGCTGCTTTTCTTGTTTGGTTCCAGTTCTGGGCGCACAGAGTAGAACTTGAAGACCTGAGTGGTCTGGGAGGTTGATACACTGACAGCAAATCTGTTGCAATGAGGTGCTGATCCATTCAGTGATTTATAGACTAACAGGGGGATATTAAAGTCTATTCTCTGAGCAACAGGGCGCCAATGTAAGGACTATAGAACTCAGCTGATGTGTTCTACTTTCTTAGTTCTAGTGAGAACGTGAGCAGCAGTGTTTTGGATCACCTGAAGCTGTCTGATGGAGTTTGTAGGCAAACCTCTGAAGATACTGTTGTTATCAATTCTACTAAAGATAAATTCATGAACCAGTTTTTGTAGTGGATTTGATTTAAAAGTTAGATGATTTTCATTCTACTCCGTTGCATTGACTCTTATTTAGTTTACTTTCAGATTCGACTTTTTTTTATGTGTACTACACTTCAATTTTCAATGGCAAAAAACAAGTTAAACCTAACTATCCTCTTTGTCTTCACTATGAATAGCAGAGTGTCGGTCAGTTTTATCATTTTAAATTGAGGAAATGTGCAGAATTTTCTGTGGGACAGGGGTTCGAGGCATTGCATGAAGGGTGGTGTCTGCTCTGTACATTTAATCCTGGTTTCATCTCTCCTCCAGGTGTCTTTGGCTGAGGAGATCAAGCCGCTAAAGTGGTATCCCTCCGTTTACCTGCTGGTGTCCATCTTCCCCCTCATTAACAGGTAGCGACTCCCTCTCACCTGTCCTCAGCATAAACCCTGTCATTTGATTTGCTGTATTCCACAATCCTTTCTCCTTCCTTACCTTTGCAGATCTGCTCTTTTGTTCTTCCTTATCTGAACTTTCACAAATACTTCAGCGTCGTTCTATAAAGCGAGTTGTGTGTGAGACAGCAGGATGAAGGAATAAAGCATTTTATTGCCTTTTATATAACGGGAGCTTCATCAGTCGAGGTTTGGTGAGAGGAGGTCCGGTTAATGATAACCCCCCCAGCGCTGTTATTACTCTTTCACCCTGCTTCCCTTACCTTCCTTTCCTCCAGCCCTCCTTCCCTCCCTCCCTGAGCCGGTGTGATTGACAGGTCAGGGTTACTAAGTGATTAGCTGCAGCGGCTCTGCTTGTCGCCACCGCGATGTAGGCGGAGACACAGGTCAATTACAGGGTCAACGTCTTTCAAAGGCTCCGACTCAAACAGCACCCCCTCCCCCCTTCAACCCCTTTACCCTTCCTCTTTCCATTCACCTCTCCCTCTATTCCATTCGTTCCCTTTCCTCCTCCTCCTCCTCCAACCGGGCTGTCGGCTGATGAAGATGACAAACGGCATCCTGTGTTAACCTCCCTGCTCTCCTTCCCCTTCACTCCCTCGCTTCCCCTCTCCCCCTTTTACGCTCTAAAAGTCTGTTATAGCCCCCATATTTTTACTCCTCCTAGCTCTGGCTTTCCATCTTTCTGCCACTGTGTTTTTATGTCACCCCCCATCACCACCACCACCTCCTCCTCCTGCACTTTTCCACACAAAGCCCTTCTCTCCCTCTCTTGAGCAAATACGCTCTCGCTCTGCTCCGCTCTGCCTTCCTCCAGAGAATGAACGAGGGGAAAACTGGAATGAATTGCTCTCTCGTAGTCGTCATCCTCCTCCTCCTCCCCTGGTTCAGCAGCAGCAGTGGTGGCAGCAGCAGTGCCGGCTGTATATATCCCCGGCTCCTATTAATTTGTTAGCCCCCCCCCTCTTCTCACTCACCTCCCTCTCCGTCTCCCTGCCTCATATCCTCTTCCACCTCCTCGCCTCTTTTCCAGCATCTCTCCCTCCTTCCCTCCCTCCCCTTGGCCGAGTACCGGAGTGTGTAAAGTGTTTGTCACGGTGCCGTGCCGATGTCGCTGTGCTCTGCTTCCGCACAGCCTCGCTCAGCGTTTGTTTTTCTGTGTGTGTGTGTGTGTGTGTGTGAGCGTGCGTGTAAAGTGGGTGGATGGTTATGTGTCAAGGCGAATGTGTTGTCGCTGCTTGTTGCTGCAGAGTGCACGAGTGTTTGTTCACCTCAACTGTGTGCGCTGCTTACTTACCCCGCTTGTGTCTGCTTGTGAGCACTCATCGGGGTGTGTTGGTGTGTGTGTGTGTGTGCGTCTGAGTGAGGGATTATTTCTATCTGAGCTCCAAAGCCTCCTAAACAGGGCTTAGAGAGACGGCCCAGGGCAGCAGCAGCTAAAGCCGGCGGGTAGAGCTCTCTCTTTCTCACTCTGCTTGGCGCCCCTGTCTCGATGCCGTTTCTGCCTGCCCTGATCCATCGGCAGGCACTCCCACAGACATACACACAGAAACGCTCTTGTTTTGGCCCTCATCTGCTGCCACACTTGCAAACACACACATACATAGTCAGACGCCACACGCAATTTTAATCTGTTCCAAATGCTCACTGGTAAATGTGTTAATTCGACACCAGCTGTTGCGAATTGAAATGGGAAAGCGCTCCTGCTTTTTTCCTCGCTCACACATGCATGCATCGACGAGTCATTATACATCATTTCACCATGCACGTCTCTCTCTCTCTCCTTCTACTTTCTCGCACTCACTTGCCCTCATTTGGCAACGCAAAAGTAGCACCAGACACCCACATCTTCGCACTTCTGCCTCCTTCTTATCCTCCCCTTTCTCCTTCGGCGTCTTCCTCCTGCTCTTTCTTGCTCTCCAGCCTGGCTCAGCTTCTTTCTCTCTCTTGATCTGTGTGTGTGTGTGTGTGTGTGTGTTAGCACTGCCCGGGCACAACTAGAGTTTTCACAGTCTGCTTCTCACATCGCTTCCCCTGTGTGCTTTACGGTGTGGGTGTGTGTTTGTTTACAAGGCTTGTCTAGATTCCTACTGTGCGTGCTTGTATACTTGTTTGCATAAATAAGCCCTCTCCTCGGAACCTGGCTGGTGATTTCCGAGCAGCGTCGCGGCTCCTCTTGCGCTTTCTACTCTTTCACATGGACTTCTGTACGCTGTTTACCATGTTGGGTGGAGAGTCTTTTTGATGTAACCTTTAGGATCGGCACAGTTTGACGGGATCAAAGTATTTATCCCTGAAAATGTAAAATAGAAAGTTTGACTTGAATGCACAAAGATTTCTTTTATTACTGTTTTCGTGGCACTTAAATGTTTCAGATCATTAAACACACTTTAAAATTAGATAAAGATAGCAATATTCAATGCATAATATATTAATTATTAATATATATATATGCAGCTTTCTAATTAGGATTCCATCAAGCATTAGCAAGTTCCTGTATTCCATTTTATTCATTCAGGATAAACTTAGACCACAATCCTCTTCCCAAGTTTGTTGCATATTGTGCTCTAACTGTAACTAGGCCAATCAGAAACCATTCGTTCAAAGGAATAGTTTCAGATAGGCTTTGGATCATTGTCCATCTTGTGCATAGCAAGTGTTTACAAGAACTACACATCTTTAAATTGCCAGTTTAACATGATGTGTTTGGGGGGGGTCAGATGGCAAACTGGCTCTAGATAACAGGCCAGATGAGGAGCAATTTAAAAGTCTTCATGAAGACCACATAAATGAGGCAAGTAACATTGGCATTGGTACAGCAGAGGCAGGACCTCACCCCATATCCAGGCCTGGGTTTTGGGTTTGTTGGTAACCATCTGACGATCAGTTTCATCTTTGTTCGACTGGAGTGGTGTTTTCTTAATGGACCTCTGTGTAAGTCATAGATTGTTAATAATGAACACTATGTTCACTTAGGGGTATTCATCAGTGCACTTAGCAACAGGGCACCCTAGGTGGGAGGTCAATGATTGACTGTAGTCTTATTTTCTGAGGAAAGGGGCAGAACTGTCCACCGATCAACAACAGGTGATGAGTTAAATATGCCAGAAGAGGAGGAAACAGGACTGCCTCAACAGGCCCAAGCGAGTCGTTAAGGTGTGTTGGAAACGCCTGTCCCTTGATCAGTTACATATTCAATCCCCAACTCTTGGAGAGCTTCTATCAGGTACCAGGCTGAGGACATGAAGTCTGAGTGGAACATGTTCTCTGTCTTTGGACCTAAGGTGATCTGTTCTTGGGCTGGCATGGTTAACACACACGTGTTTTACAGTGAATGGTGTTTAGGGACTTTGCCCCTGGACTCGTGGGCCTGAGTGGTGGTCCCTGTCCACAAGAACGGGGACTAGAGAGAGACTAATGTTCCAACTATTAGGGGATCAAACTTCTGATCCTCCCTGGGAAGGCGTATGCCAGGGTGCTTTTGCCGAGAACTGGCTGTTTGTATAACCTCTGCTTCGGGAAGAGCAGTGTGGTTATTTGTTACAGAAGTGGAACACTGGACCAACTCCACACCCTTTGCAGGGTGCTCGAGAGTTCATGGTAGTGTGCTCAACCTGTGGACACGTGCATTGTGGACCTACAGAAGATATTAGACTACGTTCACACTGCAGCCTGAAGTGACCCAATTCCGATTTTTTTGCCCATATGTGACCTGTATCTGATCTTTTTATGACAGTCTGAACGACACAGATCAGATTTTTTCAAATGCGACCCAGGCCACTTGGATATGTGGTCCTGAATCCGATACGTATCTGATCTTTTCAAATGCGACCTGTGTCTGTACGGCCAGGTCGCATTCATCCGACCTACACGTCATTGATACTTGACAAATGTTACTAAACGTTACTAATCTGCGTCCTACTAAGCGGAGGTGGGAAAAACTAACAACCATGGCGGAAGATAACACAGAGAGCAGTCAATGGAGAGAAAGTGAGGTTGCTGACTTAATTCATATTTTGAAAGATAGCTCGATTCAGACCAAACTCGAAGGGTCTTAGCGGAACCGGGGGATATTTGAAAACATTTCCCGAGAAATAGCCGATCGGGGATACAAACGCTCCAGGATCCAATGCCAACGGAAAATCAAGAGCCTCCAGCCTTTCTTTTTGATCTTCTTAAAAAGATTTCGTTCGTAATGTGCCTGCTCCTGTTGGAGAAGAACTTAAAGAACGCAATATACGCTGCGGTATTACGAGTCATGTTTACTTCCGCAAACTCTGAGGACGCTTGCTACATGTGACGTCATTGCGTCCTCGAGTGCGCATACGGGACACTTCGGTTGAACGCTTTCAGTTCACACAGTACATCACATACAAGTCGCATATACTTGGAAGTTTGAACGGACACGCAAAAAAAATCCGATTTCACAAAAAAAATCGGAATTGAGCATTAAGGCCTGCAGTGTGAACGTAGCCTTAGTGTCCCTTTTGGTGTAATGCTGGGGGCACTTCAGAAATACAGGCTTAGGGCCTTTTATAGGGCCAGTCTAGATGCTGTATAAATGGAGGTGGAGTCCTGTCCACATTGCTGACATTAAGTAGGACCTGGTCTCGGTTCATGATGGACTTTGGCAGGGCCTCCCTCTGTCTCTGGTCCTGTTCTAAAGCTTTATGGACAGGGTTTCAAGGTATAACCAAGGGACAGAGGGGTCTGGTTTGTTGAGCAGCAAATTTTGTACCCGGCTTTTGGTGAATGATGCAGTTCTGCTGGCTTCCTACTGCCAATGTGCTGGGGCAGTTTGCATCTGTGTGCAAAGCAGGTTTGGATGAAGATCCGCTCCTCCAAGTCTGAGGCCATGGTTCTAAATCAGAAAAAGGTGTCTTGATCTCTTCAAGGTAGAGGAGAGTTCCTGCTTCAAGTGGAGTTCAAGTATCTTATGAACCTGTTGAAGAGTAAGG